GGGGGGGGGAAAGATCCGCCATGCTTCTTTTTTGCAGTAGCCCATCTGGATCCCTCCCCAAAATGAGACGAAAATGTCCAAACTGACAAAAAAGTTCCCGCCATCACACTTCATAATGGCGAGTAGTTGTGATCGAGCCGAACAGACTTTTATTTTAGACCTCAAAGCTCTCCATTCATCGCACGTCTAATAAATAAACCATGTGTGCTTTCCTGGAGGTGCAGGAAGCATACAGTACATCCTCCATTATACTTAGAGGATACTATGTTGCCGCTGACACATTTGAAGGGAAGGAGGGGAGACAGAAAGTCTTCACATCTGCGCCAGTTGCATTAAGCTCGGCTGATATATAAATTGTATTAGCCGTGGTTTTTGGTGGATCTTTGTCCAGAGTGCACTTAAATTTCACCAACTTGCACTAAAATTTGCAGCCCCTTTGGAAAGTAACATAAAAAGTCAGCCCACGCAGAGGGAGAGAGAGACCAAAGATAAATACCACACTGGGATGAGCTGACTGAACGAGGATCACAGCACGTTTGCAGTGCTAAGTCATGCTTTAGGAAAACAGAGAACGGTTTCCTACAGCATCCAATCGAAATCCAGCTGGCGTGTTTCTTCCCTTTCTAAACAATAAAACCTAACATATGGTTGGCTGCTATGGCCAACACCCCTTCCTCTATTTGGTGTTGGTTATAGAGTTTTATATATATAGTTTCAGTAACACTAGAGGAGCCATTTAGGAATAAGCTCCAGAGATGGGAAGGGAACCGTTGTGTCTAACTGGCAACTGCTGATGTCGCTCTTTCTAGGGATGTGATTGCCTGCGTGTTGGTGGGCTGAACCACCTATTGGCCTCTAGGGATGTAACAGTGAGATTTCCCTAACAAGGTCCTTGGCTCTGCTCTCCTGCCATAAGGAATTGCTTCCCCTGCTGCAGTGGGATGTATCTAAATGCTACCAAACAGGGAATGCAGACTCCTTCGTAAGGGCTAAGGGGCGCAACTGGGAAACCTTCGTAAAGGGTGGAGCTGGGAACTCAGCAGAAAGATCTCTTTGAGTGTGCAGGTCTCCCTCCAGACTGTGGGTTCCCAGCTATGCCACTCATTGAGTGGGTGACCCAACCGCCTGTTATCGTTCCCAAACTCAGATATCGGCTTTGAGTGGGCTAACACAATAGAGTTCTAAAAAATGGAATATGCCCCTTCTGAAAATGCGAGTAGACGGGCTATCTCTGGCTTCCATGTGAGCCTCTGATCTGGAATGGTAGCTAAAATTCCTGATTGGCATACTTGTTTGAGGTCGGTGACTTAGAGAATCCATTGGTTCAGCATGACAGTCAGGGAAACAGTATTAACAGAAAAGCACACCAATGTTTCATTTCAGAGGTCTATCTACTGACCTGATGCCCAGCTCTTCCCACCACAGTTCTGACCCGGGTGGGTCCTGCAGGCCCTCTAGTGCTGCCCGCTCTTTCCTCTTCCTCTTGTCCTGCTCCTTTCTTTTGCCAGGCTTGCCCTTCTTCTTCTTGTTGGGGATTTTGGGTGGAGGGTCTTTGAAGCTCTGTGATTTGTGGGTCTCCTGAGTCAGCTGGGTTGTCACTCCCTCCTCCTCGCCCACCAGACGCAGGGTGTTAAAGTTCTTGACGCTGGGGATGGGGCGGGGCAATTCATCTGGCACTGACCGGATTTCCGCCGTGTTCACCCCTTCAATGAGGTTCTGCAGGAAGATCCTGCGCCGGAGGTCCTGGAGGGACCGCCCTTTGTCATGGAGCAGCTGATGTTCGGAGACCGCCCTCCGTCTGCAAGAGTAGAGAAATAAAACTGTCAATAGGCGCAATGAGCTAATTCATAAAAATGCAGCACAACAAAACACAACACAACACAGAATGTACGGCTACAATAAGACTCACAATTTGAGGACATTATAACTATGAAGACCTTTGAAACAGAAAGTTGACTTTTTACCAGATATATTATTTTGTGTTAAGTGCAGTATGCTAAAAAAATATGTAAATGTAACTCTTCCAGGCTTTTATTATCACAGAGGTCACAGTACACCCTCTGACAATGCCTTCACTGATTTTCTCTCCAGAAGGACAGAGCCATCTTTGCTCAGGCATCATACATGGTCATCATCTACTTCTGGACTGAGATGCTGGCTACATCAGGTCTGAGATGTAGACACAAATCAGTCCCTGCTGCAGCCTACACCTTATGACTTGCTACAAATTTACAATGTTGCAGTCTGATCACTGGAGGGAGGAGACTGAGGAAATGCTTCCTCCTGCCTGCAGCAGACTGATATTGTATTTTGTGCTATTTCAGGAGTTAAGAAGTCCACTTTAAAGGAGCACTCTTCTTAAATATAATAATTTAGTATGAGATGAAGAGCTATGTAAAGGGAGCATAAACCAAATAAAAAGTTTGTAGATTTTTAGAAATTGTAACAACTTTTTTAAAAAAATTAGCAACTGTATATGGCCATCCTTCTTCAAAATAGTCTCCTCTCTTGAACCAAGAGAAAGATTCCCCCTTGTGGGTGGGCAAGGGGCGGGCACAGACACAATTTATTCTGCTTGTCTAGATTAGGTGGTCAGACTTTAAGTAGCGTTCTGAGCTTTAAAAACTTGGACACTTTTTGTTTTATTTTATTTTTTTACTGGTTCTATTTATATATATAGTTCTAGGAAAGTGTAAATGAAGGCGCAGCGGTCTGATCCAGTGAGATGGATGAGAGGAAGTGCAGCGTGTGGTTACACAGGATAATCCAAAGTGTTTTCACATATGACAGACACATCCTGCTCCGCTCTTAAACCCACGCGATAGACAACGCGTCTCCCATGGATGAGACAGGATCCAAGGCCAGAGCTGGCAGGCATGCAGCCCCCCTGATCTGCATAGAAAATTATGTCTGGCCTCAAAATTACACACAAACTCTGCCGATCCTCCCACACACATTCACAGTCAATGAGATGGTAAGACAACCAATTCTGAGATCCTAGTCTGATCCTGATTTGGGCAGGGTTTGTAGGGTATGCTCAGTGAGCTTTTTCTCCACAGAAAAGGGAAAGGTTGCTTATTGACCAAATGGGAATTTCAATCTAAATAGTCCAAAGGTTCAATTGCAAGCGGTGCTCAAATTGGCCTTCATTAGGCTGTGTGTGGTCAGTTTTAGGTTGACCATGTGGCTTTATGCTCAGATAGAAGACGGAGGGAGAGCAACAATGACCAATAAGTGATGCTAATTATACATGTGGAGAAAACTCTCTCTCAATTTATCTCTCTCTACTCCATCCTGCACAGACAATGCAGCATTGATGTGTATGATGTGCCCGGGGACACGGCTCACATTAGTGTTGATGAAAGGTGCAGATTTAATTACACTTCACTCAATAGAGTTACGTGTGGGCACTTGATTCCTGCTCATTTCCCTTCCTATATTTAACTAAAGAATTGTTTCAGAATTAATCCTCTGATGTGGGTGGAAATCTGATTCCTCAAAGGACTGTATTTCATATTAAAACTCTAAAAACTCACTGTGCAACCAACAGCAGTGCGGCTGCCGGCTTGGACGGAGCCCAAGCTGTCCTGTGCACATTATTTTTCTGGCCTTGGGAAGTCTTCATATGACTGAGACTCCCTCACACTGGAATAACTATGTATGAAAGGGCCATATAGGAAAACCGTTATGGTCCTCAAAAAACCTGAATCTATCCAAGGCAATCCTAGAACTACCCCAGGGATCCCTTTGTTTTTGCTATTTGTAGCCCTAATGCACCTCAATCCCTTGGAGGTGTAAAAACTACATCAGAAGTAAAGGTTTACTGCTGGCATGTGAGAGATAACATTATGATTGGTGCAATGCTTTTGCAGCTTAACTCTCATGAATGAACAAAGAAGCACCAACATGCATGTATACAAATATGGTGTGTGTGTATATATATATATAAATATTTATATATA